AAGGGTTATTAATGTTCAGATTAAAACTAAGTCGCAGGAAGCAATTTTGTCTTCCCCTTTGAGTTGGGGTCAAATCTGATTACGTCAAAAAGAACTAGCTGCATACACATTTACGCAAACTCTTTCATACTGATACTGACTGAGTTTCTTCGCTTTATTGTTGTGACTAGACCCCATGGTAACAATCAGCAAGATGGGAAGCCATGAGCTGGTATACAAAGATAAAGAATTTGCTTGGATCCACGTTTCTTTTGATTATCTTTATTTTCTCTCTGGGAAAGTTCTATGAAAAATTACGCTGATGTATCAAAAGCAACTTTTCCCTTTAAACCTTTTGAATGCTTTGAATAATACAGCTTATACGAGATTAAATGAGATCACATTTATATAGAAATAGTGGATGCTGTTGTTGCATATTACATGCAGTATTCTCTGCTCGAGAAACAATTGTGAGATTTCTGATCACTTTTATGTTAAGAACATGGGAATGAAGAACTGAAATGTTACCTGGTACGAGCTATCAGAGCCAACCATGCGTTTATCTGTACTGCTCCCGCGTCTCACCTTTAGATAGTTGAAAATAATCCTTGAGTGTTTCTAAATGATTGTTTTCTTGTTTCAAAACTTCCTGGGAAGATTATCCACGCAGTATGTAAATTAAAAGAACTGCAACTGTGTTCTTCCAAATAAAAAACAACCTTTGGCAACGCAGATTCGTAATTAAATTGGAATTATATATTATAGTAACTGAATCCATACAAAGCCAACCAATGGATACTTTAGCTGTTAAACGTTTCACTAATTCACTTTTTTAAGGAGAGTAGCTAAAGCTGATGAAGAATTTCTTACACCATTACGGTGGAGAATGCTGCTAACATCATACTCGATCTCACTCAAGTTATAAGCTGATGGATATTAGAGTCCCTGATCTTTTGTGAGCAGTTCTCAAGGGACCATTGAGTTAGAAATTGAGTTGGACCACGTTTATTTGCGAAAATGATG